CGTGTGAGCATGCGTGTCTGAGCGTGCACATGTGTTGGCATGCACATGTGCACGTGTGGGTGTGAGCATGCATGGACATGTGAGTGAGTGTACGTGAACATGCGTGAACATGCGTGAGCGCGTGTGTGTGCAGATCAGAGGCCGATGCTGGCTCACGCAGTTGCGGAAACCGGGGAGTCCAGCCCCTGCCGTCTGCAGGCGGAGGCCGGAGGCCCCAGAGTGCGGAGACCCAGGGCAGCGGGCGGTGCACACCCAGCCCCGGTGGTGGGTGGGGAGCAGGTCGTGTGCTCCCTTCGCGCTGGGCGCGGCCACCGACTGCGCCTCTGGAAAGTCCCTCCTGGCACCCAGGGGCGGGGCAGCCCCCCCGGCCAGTCACACGGACACACACCGCAGCCACCGCACCGGGCCGTCCTCTCGGGGTAGGGAGTGGGAACCGCAGGGAGCGGGGAGGCGGGAAACACGTGACCAGACAGGTGTCCGTGCTCCACGGAGACCCTGCCGAGCTGGGGCATAGTTTGTGTTGACTGAGGCAAGCAGGCTAACAGCGTTTTCTAAGTTGGAAACCAGCTGTTTAAGCTGAAAGATGAAGGAATCCGGCGTCTGTCACTGGGGAGGCGGCTCCCAGGGGAGGCTGGAGTGCAGTGAGGGGCACCAGAGGGCTCGGGACTTAGTCCTTGGCCCCATTCCCACCAGGGGGGACAGCGGGGGCACAGGTGTGGACCCCCAAGGCCCAGGCCCGCAGCCGGGTGTCCGCCTCCGTTCACCACGAACCCGCATGTCGTCAAGGGTCCCCAAGTCTTCAAACAAACTTTGCTACAAAAAACGCCCCATTCCTCAGATTCCAGCTGTGGCTCCTGAAGCGCCTTCTCCCATGGCAAAGCCGGCCCGGCGCGCTCACCAAGCATCTCGCACTGTCCGCGAAGTGCGCAGCCTTCCAGGCCCGTGTCACCCCCAGGCCACTTCCCATTTCCACTCGAGTTATATTTTCTCCTCTCCTTCGGTTTCCGTTAAGTCCTCGATAGGAGGACAGACAGAGGCACGGGAAGGTGGCGACCACGCTGGGGTCCCTCCTCCTGCCTCTCCCCCTCACCGGGCTCAGCGGGACACGTCCCATCGGGAGGATGGCATCGAAAACGTGGCAAGAGGCAGGTGTGACCACTCCCAGCCCTCCGTCCTGGGTGGGGAGGCTGCCTCGAGGCCCACGCGGAGCACCTGCTCACACGCATGCACGACGCCGGGGACTCCTCTGGAGAAAGTGCTTCTCAGGCCATCTTCAGTTTGAAAACCAGTAATGTCACAGCTTTCGAGGACCAGCTGACCAGGTGCAAATGGGGGCTGATGCAGCCCCCTCGCCATGGGCACTTTCTCCAGGGACCAGCGCCTAAGAGATGCAGCAGCGAGTCCACCGTGGGGGGAGGGGAGCCAAGCAGATCACGGAAACACGTCGGCACCACGGGGCCTGCCGCGGACAGACGACCTCTGCTGACCCAGCTCCACAGGCCCGACGCCGTCCGGCCACGCGAGCTGGAGCAGCCGAGTGGACTCAGCTCGGCCCACAGGCGCCCCCTGGGAGGGGGCATCACGCGTTCCCCGCAGTGGAGACAAGCTGAACGGCCTCAGAACCTGGAGGAAAAGGTTCTGAGCACTTGCGTTTTGTTTTGAGTGGCAGGCGAGCAGACCGTGTCTCGTTCTGCAGTCACTGTGACAGGGACCTTGAGAAAAATAAGCGTTCGAGGCAGCGCCCGGCACAGCCCGCTCCCCACGGTCACGGGCACGGCCCGCGAGCCTCCGCCCCACTTCCGCACGCGCACGACTGCCCACGCCCTGGGGGTGTCACGGACGCGATGCCACTCCGTGACACTCGTCGTGGGGGACACAAGTCACTGCACATTGGCAGGACCCACCGGACGGTGCCACCCTGAGGGAGACCCTGACGGACGGCAACTCCAGCCCACAGCATGCTGGTTCTGGCTCGTCCCTTGTGGCGGACGTGCCGGCTGGGGGGACCGCCTGGACGTCCCCGGGGATGGCCGCTGCCCGGACGCCAGTCCTGGTTGCTGGCACGAGACCCGGGGGGAAGGCGGGCGTGTCGGGCTCGGCCTTGCCAGGGTCTCGGCACCTGTGAGGAGACCTGGGCTTGCCCTGGAGGCTGGGGCCGGTCACTCACTCACCATCACCTGCCTGCACTGCGCCCACAGCTTCTTGGCAACAACTGTGACAATGACAGACAACAGCTTGGCTCACGGAGCCAACGGCCCAGCATTGGAGCCAGCACCTCGCAGTGAATGTGCTGGGTAGGAAACGGGCGGGGAGGGTCTGCAGTTCTCACGTGTCACGAGCAGCTGTGATGGGGACACATTCCAGGCAGAGGGGTCGTGGGACACACAGGGGCTGACGTGGGCAGGATGGTCTGCAGCCCAGGCCGTTCCAAGAACTTGAGAGTCATTTTGGCAAACTGGCACAAAGCTAAGGCCTGTTTTCCTGTTAGGTGACATAGGGCCATCCCCCAGACACAGGAAGGCAGGGAGGGGTCCCCCAGGGAGGGACAGAAGCTGTGTGGGGTCCAGAGGCAGTGAGGTGACCGTACAGCCTCCCCCCCCAGGCCAGCGTGGACCCGAGGGGCAGGACCAAGCCCCACCTGGAAAAGGGACCAGGGGCAGAACACACGGCCGCTCAGCCTGGAGGGGAGACGGGGCCTGTTCTTCCCGTCCCGCACTGTTCTTCCTGGGCTGGTGGGCAGGACTCAGGTTTGAGGACCCCGACAAGCCATTTCTACCCGTGTGCTTCGCGCCCGTGAAAGGGGTGACGACACGTGTGGGTGGCCGGCTGCGCCTCCCTGTGGCAGGTGTTGGCCGCGAGCTGTGTCCGGCGTGGTCTCTCTCCTAGCCAGTCCCTCAGGTAGTCAGAGACACTGAGCTTCACCAAGGAGTTGCCGCCGGGTCCGGGGCTCGCCTTTGGCTCCTGGCCGCTCACGGGACTCAGTCCGTGTGGGGTTCAGCGGAGGCCCCAGGGGCCCCACGCCGTTCCCACCCATGTGGGCGGCAGACACGGTGGCTGAGAACAAGCACGGGGCGGGCAGGCAGGGAAGGCCCCGCTCACCGCCCCTCACACGTCGGGGGACAGCACTCCCACACTCGCGAGGCGGAGAGTGGCCTCTCGTCGGCCCCTGTGCCTGCGTCTTGGCACCGAGGACACCAACAGGAGAAGGGGAGGTTGGTGGTGGCTGCGGAGCTGGGCTCCCTGTGCTTCAGGCACCTGTGCCCCGGAAGGTGGGGGGCAGGTGCCCGGCTGTGTCCACTCACACAGGAGGAGCACACGGCCACGGACGGCCCAGCCCGTCTGGGTCACGGCGGCTGAAGCAGAGCCAGGGCCACGAGGAGGGGCAGCCCCCTCCGGGCACCGAGAACAACCGGCTGCTGCCACGTGCCCCTGGCAGAGCTGGTCTCACGGCCCGGCGGCCTCCATGGCTAGGTGGGCCGGGGCTCCCGCTGCTGGCCAGGTGGGGGGTGGTCCTTGTTTGGAGGTGTCTGCCTCCCTGTCACACTGTTCTCGGTGCTTCGAATAACCCTTCTCTTCTGATTTCAGGAACAGCCGAGGCTCATCGCTGTTTTCCAAGCTGTGCGCAAATAGAACAAGGTCATCTGCCTGCCACTGGGAACGATTTTTCTGACCTGCTGGCGTGGCTTTTGTGTATGCACGTGTGTGTGCGTGTGCAACAGCGTCGCACAGTGTGTCTGGTGCGATGCTCTTCCTGGTGCTGCCGGTCAGGGACATTTGCTCCGAGACCCGGTCAGAGACCACGTGCGGGTTTGCCTGGATCTGTTCGGCCGGAACTTTGCAGCTGCACATCGGTTTGACTTCGCTTCCCGTCTTACACATGGCGAAGAGGCAAGTGTGCGTGTCTCCGACGTGCCGTGCGCGGTGGCTGTGCCCTCCACGCAGACGCCCGCAGGGGGCTCTGTGTCGGCTGCAACGTGGCCGCCGGCCCTTACCCAGCCCGGCATCACCGTGACGACAGGAAACAAACGCGAGAACGCCGTCCACACTGACACTGCCCGCATTCGCGCTGACCAGAACAGTCAGCTGCACAGAGCAATGTCCCAACCGCAAAGAAACGGCCTGGGAGTGGACGCGCAGCGGGACCAGCGCCAGGGGCCAGGGGCCGGGCGGGAGGACGGCCCTTGGCCAGGTCGGCAGTGGAGGGTGGGGGCGGTGGCCGGGCACAGCCCGCACTCAGCGCTGCACATGCTCGCTTGGCTGTGCAGCCGGACTCGCAGAAGCTGGGGTGCGGAGGGCCGCCCCGGCACCGGGGGCCCCCGCTCCCCCTGCAGAGTCCGGGCTGAGAGAGAAGGGCTTCACAGCGCCGGCCCCCTTCCCACCCAGGACACTCACGGACTTGCGAGCCCATGAGGAGAGGTGACTAGTCAGCTAAACTTGACACCAGGGTCACAAGACAAGCTGCTGGGAGTCTGTCCCCTGTCACCTGGGGCCAAGAGCCACAGGAAACTGTGTGCGAGGGGCCGTTGGCCTCAAAGCAAAAGATTCCAGAACCAACAAGGCAGGGGCAGATCGTCTGTGAAGCACAGCACACGGCACAGCACGGCTGCTGCAGCCCCGCTTCCCGCCCCGGCCTGTCCCGCGGTGGCAGAGACCCAGCAGCCCCCCGGGACCGGGCAAACACGCAGACGTGCACGCAAAGTCCTGGCAGAACCACACCGCTGGGCCCGAAGCAAGTCAGAGCCAGACTCTGTTCTGCCAGAGACGGCGGCATCGCCAAGCCTGCCACAGACGCGGAAAACGCGACGAGCCACGTTTCACAAGAGACCAGAACGCCAGCAGCTCCCTCTCCCCCCAGGCTCTGTCTTCAGGCCTTGAGACCTGTCTCCGCTCTTTCTCCTCCAACCGCCAACCCGCTCGGGCAGCGCGAGCTCCTGGGCTGCAGGCGGGCTCACGGGCGGACTGCCGCAGCCTC